TTCCAGGAAGCAAGGAACTGAGGACTGAACTTTGTGTTTGAAGTTAGGATAGATCATGCCAGTGCACTACAGCGAGAGAGACTCTGTCTCAACACGAAAAAAAAAAAAAAAAAAAAAAAAAAAAAAGTTAAGGAACCAAGTAAAATAGTAAATGTTATCAATGCAGATTCGGGTACTAAGCATATTGGGCTTTACTGAATAAATGTGAATGACAGAAATCGTTGTTTATCAAAAGAACTTCTAAAATCACTTTTTAAAAACCATTTGCTTTTAATGTTTATGATCCTTTAGTGTAGGATAATAATACTGACACACTGTCGGGTATAGCTAGTTAGTACAGCCTTTTTTAAAGTGAGAAGGAAGATATATCAGCCACTCATCTCTAATGTCTATACCAGATCATCTTTGGTGCCAGTGGTCCAGCTTTAGGACATAATTAGCTGGGTTAAGAGACACTCTGGTAACTTTTAAGCACAGCAGGACTAACCTGATGAAGGCAGCAACAATTTAAGTAAGTGAACATTAGATATCTGATTCACTGTGCTAACTAAGCTAAGCCACAAGCTGTGATCAGCACTTTCACTAAAATGTAGTGATGTCGTTCTTAAATTTAAATAAATGTAGAAAAAATAAGGTTTTATATATTAGAATTGGTTTTATAACTTTTTAAAAACCTATGCATAAAATAGCATCAGCTGGGAATGGTGATATGTGCCTATAGTCCCAGCTACCCAGGAGGATCTCTTGGGCCCAAGAGTTCGAGTCCAGCCTAGGTAACATAATGAGACCCCTATCTCTTAAAAAAAAGAAAGCATCGAAGTGGATTTTAAGATATTGGGAATAAGCTTTCAAATGCATTTTTCTTTGGTTTTCTGGGAGACTATGCCAGTGTTTCTCAATTTTATTCATTCAACATATAAGAAAATGAATTATAATACTAGTAATTTTATAGTCAGAGTATACCATGTACCTTGATTTAGAAATATATTTCAACATCTGATATTCTGTCATTTTTAACTTTTGCAATACTGGATGAAATATGAAGTTCAAAAAATGTTTCTACTTTTCAAAAAAAAAATCAACTTTATAATAAGCAAATAATGTCCAGAGCAGGTATATGGCCTCTAAATGCCAATCTCACTCTTAAAGCAAGGAAGCTCTATGTCAAGACAGCCATCTCCATTCGTAGGAGAGCCATCTTTGCTGGTGTTGAAGGCCTTAGCCTGGGGTTGATCAGTCATGCCCTATTGTCCTCCCTCTCACCAGCCCTCACTCCTCCCCATAAATGAATGGGCGCCTAGATATAAATAGTACATTTTGCCAGCAAACAGTTGTTTATAGCCAACCACAGGCCAGAGACTGTACTGATGTGGGGATATAGAGATGAATAAAGCCTTATCTTCTTACCTTCTTTTGCCCTTCAGAAGATTAAAGTATATTGGGAGCAGTAGACAAAACCATAAAAATTCACTGTGGTAGCTGACATCCTGGGGTATGTGTGAAGAGGGGGCGGGGATAGAAATGGGGCACCAGAAAGCTTTCTGAAGTGAGTGATTCTTGAGCCTTGTCTCCTGGGTGTTGCAGGCCTCAGGTGCTATGGAAAGTCTGGGAGGCTTCAGAGAAAGGTAGCCCCACATGGGGTTCACTACCCTTAGAAGTACAGCATCAAGCTCATTTTTGTTTAGACTTTCTGTTGTGGATTTCCACCTTTAAAAAATCTTGCTTCAAGATGCTGGGGTTAGGGGGCATGGGGCTGACTCAGAGGAATGCAATTCAAATCTTATGAGAAACCAGTATTTGTTAAATCCTCTGACTGAAATAAAAACGCCTCCTTCTAGTCTTCCCACATTACAGCATACCCTTTTCCTCATACTCTTTCCCCCAAAAAGAAGAGAAAGCAGATCAAATGGGATTCCCCTTTCTAATTCATTACCACTTGTTTGTGAGTGGCCCAGTCTGCATAGCAGGCAGTTTGTCTACCAGTCTTCCTTTACCCTGCTGAATTTCCCCTATCCTGTTTTTGTTTGTTTGTTTGTTTGCTTGCTTGTTTTTGAGACCGAGTCTTGCTCTGTCACCCAGGCTAGAGTGCAGTGGTGTGATCTTGGCTCACTGCAACCTCTGCCTCCCAGACTCAAATGATTCTCCTACTTTAGCCTCCCGGGTAGCTGGTACTACAGGCAGGGTTTTACCATGGTGCTCAGGCTGGTCTCAAACTCCTGAGCTCAAGCGATCCTCCCTCTTTACCCTCCCAAAATGCTGGGATTACAGGCATGAGCCACCACACCCAGCCTCCCCGTGTCCTGTTTCACTCCAACTTCCAAGCAAGCATCTCTTCCAGTCACTGGCAGTCATCAGCAACCATGTGCTTTCAAATCTGAGTACTGCTAAAGCCCCACTGCAGTTTAATGTGTGCAATAATTTGTGAAGAATGTTGAGTGATCATAAGTATGGTACGTAGAACATCTCAGCAAACTACCTTTCATATGTGTTTTTTCTACCTTCTAATTCTAGAAAGTGAAATTCGTTATTCTACATGGAAGAAAGCTGTGATGAAGTCAATGGGTTGGGTTACAACTCAATCTCCAGAAAGTGGTAAAAATGTTTTTGTTTATTACTGCCACATTTTCTTAGTATGTTAAATAGTTATTTAAGTATCTAGCCATTTACACATAGCCAGGCTGCTCTGAAGCAAAGCGTTATCGTATGTCCAGAGATTCTAACATTTTGAAAACACTTTAAAGTTCTAAACACAAAATGTAAATTATCAGGTTGATATACATACTTAACCCTATCCTGCCATATCTTTCCTTATTAGTTTATTCTTGGTACTTCAATTGACAACTTAGTCGTCCAAGAGTAAAATTATTTCTAGTTTCTTCTTAATGAAAAAAAAATCAACTAGAGTCTTCATTTTTTTCCCCCTCTCCTCTTACTTTACCTTTTTGGGGGGCTGTCTTTATGACTTGAACCAACTGAAAACTGTATTAATTTCAGAATATATTCTGCTACTTCCTAGGCTGATTCCAAGTACATAATGGGAATTCCTTTGGAATCAGAGAGGAAGAAATATACCAAACATAGTAAATTCGAACTCTTATAAATAGATTGGGAAATACTCTTAGCAGAAAAAATAGTGGACTATTCTACCTTACGATCACTTAGGAAGGTCAAGAGCTTAAGTAAACCATTAAACAGCCTTAAGATGCATAGTATTATTTTTTGCTAAATACAAGATGTGGAGCATAATGAATGGAACAATGGCAAATAATTTATTGAAGCATATACTTTTTTTTTTTTTTTTTTTGAGACAGAGTCTTGCTCTGTCACCCAGGCTAGAGTACAGTGGCACGATCTTGGCCCACTGCAACCTCTGCCTTGTGGGTTTAAATGATTTTCTTGCCTCAGCCTCCCAAGTAGCTGGGGTTATAGGCGCCCACCACCACGCCCAGCTAATTTTTTTGTATTTTTAGTAGAGACGGGGTTTCACCATGTTGGCCAGGCTGGTCTGGAACTCCTGACCTCAAGTGATCCACCCGCCTTGGCTTCCCAAAATTCTGGGATTACAGGCGTGAGCCACCGCACCTGACTTGAGCATATACTTTAATGGGGAAGAGTTGACAAATGAAATAATACCTGCCTTCCTTCCAACCCCAAAGTTAATGTATCTGTTTTTTAGGAAAGCTTCCAGAATTATCTACTGCCACAGATAACTGTGGTCTGTATTTTCAGTCCCGGATGTTCCTATCTGAAGCTTTTGTTTTTCTCCTAAATAAGCTTAATATCTTTTGTTGTGAGACTCAGCTTCCTTTTCCAAGATGATGGCAAAGTTTTTCTTGCTAAGACTGTAATTTTGAGAGACCCTTTACAATTAAACTTCTCAATCATAAGTATTTTTCTAGCACAGTGCTAGTTGCTGTGTGAGATAGACGTAAGCCCTGACTTCTTTTCTAGTTGCCCTTAATTATTGCTTGTAAGAAGTGGAGTTACATGATTTCTTTAACTAGCTGGACGTTTTAAAATGGCACTTTAAATGGCATGTTTAAAATGGCATTTTGTTTTGTTTTTTGTGTTTTGAGATGGAGTCTCACTCTGTCGCCCAGGCTGGAGTGCAGTGTTGCGATCTTAGCTCACTGCAACCTCTGTCCTCCAAGTTCAAGCCATTCTCCTGCCTCAGGCTCCCGAATAGCTGGGATTACAGGTGCCTGCCACCATGCCCGGCAATTTTTTTGTATTTTTAGTAGAGATGGGGTTTCACTATCTTGACCAGGCAGGTCTTGAACTCCTGACCTCGTGATCCACCAGCCTTCCAAAGTGCTGGGATTACAGGCGTGAGCCACCGCGCCCGGCCTTAAAATGGCATTTTAATCCTCCTGTCTCCCTCCCTTCAACCCTATGTCTTACACACAGATATACAGTTCTCCTCACTAGCAGTTCAGGATGTAATTTTAACTGCAAAATTCCCACAAAATCAACTGATCATTTTTCCCTTGTTTGTGTACTTGACTATCAATGAATTTAAAATGCTAAGAAAAAGTTGATAAAACAAAAAAAAGATATGATTGCTCCAATTTCTGCTATCAGCATTAATGATAAAAGTAGTTTGGTTTGTGAGAGTTTTATATTTTAAAGAACTTTGTTTTTGTTTCAGTTAGGCTGCAGTGGATTTAAGCCAGTTTGAAATTTTTTTGTTTGTTTGTTTGTTGGAGATGGAGTTTCACACTTGTTGCCCAGGCTGGAGTGGTGCAATGGCGCGATCTCCACTCACCGCAGCCTCTGCCTCCCGGGTTCAAGCAATTCTCCTGCCTCAGCCTCCTGAGTAGCTGGGATTACAGGCATGTGCCACCATGCCCAGCTAATTTTGTATTTTTAGTAGACACTAGATTTCTCCATGTTGGTCAGCCTAGTCTCAACTCCCAACCTCTCAGGTGGTCCGCCCACCTCGGCCTCCCAAAGTGCTAGGATTACAGGCATGAGCCACCGCACCCGGCCTGAAAATGTTTTTTGAATAGATTTATGAAAAACACTCTAATATGTAATATTTTGGGGGTCTCTAAGCTGTGTAATAAACTTGGAATAGTAATCGTCAGTTAATAAAATGCTAGTTGTATTCCTTTAAGCAATCTAAGCTATATAACTATATAATTTATATGATAACAGCAATACAGATAGAATCCTATTTTAATAAACTTGAAAGGATATTAGAACTGCTACCTGTATCTTTACCTATGGGAAGAATATGAGGCTTGCTTAAGTTTCAAAGCAGTTTGCCAATTTTGAAGCAATCATATTTATTTTCTTGTTTGTGACTACATTTGAATGCTTTGTAAACAATTTTTAACATACTTTTAATATGTGTTTAAAATGTATTGTCAGGTGCATTTTGTTACATACCAAATTCTATTTAAAAAATAACACTGGCCGAGCGTGGTGGCTCACGCCTGTAATCCCAGCACTTTGGGAGACTGAGGCGGGTGGATCACGAGGTCAGGAGATTGAGACCATCCTGGCTAACACGGCGAAACTCCTTCTCTACTAAAAATACAAAAATAAATTAGCCGAGCGTGGTGGCGGGTGCCTGTAGTCCCAGCTATTCGGGAGGCTGAAGCAGGAGAATGGCGTGAACCCGGGAGGCGGAGCTTGCAGTGAGCCGAGATTGCGCCACTGCACTCCAGTCTGGGTGACAGAGCGAGACTCCGTCTCAAAAAAAATAAATAAATAAAAATTAAAACTGAACTAATATTTTAGCAAAAAATAGGGTTTTAAGTTTATCTTAGAACACTAATATAACTCTTCTCTCATAGCCAAAAGACCTATAATTTGAACTTGGGTGGAATTAAATAGATCATTTAGTATATTTGGGGGAAGAATCAAGAAAGCTAAAATTAACAGCCTCCCAAAAAGTTATCCATAGGCTCTCTCTGGCTTTGCCAGCGGAAGGCTAATGTTGGTCTATATGTATTATGTTCTTGGCTGTGTGGCATGCTATCTGTATTGTTTGTTAACTGTCATAAGCCTTCAATATTGATTATATTTTTGATTTGAAGTAATAACTCTTTGCTAGCTTTTATGAATATACTATTTTTATAGCTTATTTTGTTTTGCTATCTTGTGATTCTTAACACAAATATTGTAATTATGTGTCTCTCTTTTGGTTTGCTTGACTGGAATTCTCTTCTGCTTGGATGACCACAGGTGACCCTAGTATCTTCTGTAGTCTGCCCTTGGGCTTTTTTATAGTGAGTAGCATGGTAATGTTAATCGGAGCAAGGTACATCTCAGGTTAGTTACTCTTTAAATTAGACAACTCTATTTAGTTAGCTTTAATGTTTTCGTGTACAACTTAACAGAAATTTTTCAGTGTTTTTCATTCTTTCTGTGTCTAGGAAGCTGGAAACTCAAAGGTCTAATTAGTTAGACCAATTAATCTTTGGGGGCAGTTAGAAGTAAGAACTGTGACTCTGCTTAACCTATTTACATTTTTAATGTGATGATTTATTTAAGAGGGACTACATTCTGCTGTGAGCTGCAGCAATAAGCAAAAGTGAAAATACTAATATTTAAATGAAAGGACTTTCAGACTGCTGAAAGTTAAAGTATAGTTTTGACATTAATTAAATTGTCTTTCAAATGTATACAAATTATTTTTCATACTCCTGAAAATTTGCTAAGCAAGTCTTAACTTTTCAATTCTGGCAAGAGTTTCAGCCAGAGCATGTCAGCAGAGTTCCTGTAAAACCCTAAAACCAGGGAAGATTTATAGTCACTTTTGTTTTAGTTAAAAGAATGTATTTTGTGAACTGAAGTTTTAAAAATGATTGCTTAAATAAAGGGGTTGAAATGAAAATAGAATTATTTTTCCACATTAATTTCTACTGAATAATCTTTTTAAAATAAAAGTAAAATGGCTCAGCATGTTATGAAATATATTGCATAATCTTATTAATTTATAATAGCCATTTTTGGAAGCTGCTCTTGATGATAGCTCAATTTTTCTTAAAATTACTGGCTTAAATGGAAATGATGCTTCTTATTCTGTATGTTCCCATGAAAGTGAAACTTAAAAAAAAAATCTTCATGGTTAGGGAGAGTTAAATTCTCTCTCAATTAATAAGATAATGGCCTGAGCTTAAGATGTAAAATTTAAACTTTAGTGATATGAGAGGGAACATCTGTTTGTCGAGATCTGACAAACATTTATTTAGCTTGTCATTATCATTTTAGTGCTATACATAAATGTAGAACGAAAATTATTTACAGAAAATTATTTGCAGAACATTAGGTTATCTTTTAATGAGAAAATTTGGGTTACTTGCATGAGAATTTAAAACTAGATTATATTACTTTTTCCATATTCTGAATATTCATGCATATTCAGAATAAATTTGTTCAAATTGTCTGCTTCTGTACTAACAATACCTTAACTTGGTATCAGTAACAGAAGAAAAAACTATGGAATGCTACAGTAAATACTGCGTTTCCAAAAACACAACCACTAGTCCAAATAGTTAGTTTTTCTTTGAATTACCTTACAAAAGGCCTCTGTATACATAAATCTATATGGAATCTGTTCTTTCTGCTTCTCAGGAATGTTTGGTGGAACATTCCCATGAGAACTGTAATTTAAATCTATAAAGAAACGTACACATTATTTTAGAAAAAGTTCTGTTACTTTTCATTATCCTGAGTATTTTGGGCTGCATAACAATGGTCTGGAAAAGTAAAGAAAAGAAACATTGCAGCTGAAAGTTTTGATTTGTTTGTTTGTTTGTTTCCCCCTTGGTATCATGACAGCATGAAAAGGCCTTGTCTCTATGAAAATTGAGACATGTGGCATCTCTCTAAGCTAAAAGATGTGCTACGTGTCTAGATTCTTAGGCTTCTAAAATGCACGTGGTCACTATATTTAGGTTCTCTCTTTGATGACATACCCTGCAATTTGAGAGGGCTGGAAATTGTTTGCCTTGGTAAACAATTAGCAACAGTGGCAATATTTGCTAATTTTGGAATTAGCCCTGTTTGTTGCATTTTAATTGTGAGGCATGATTTAGAAATCATATGGACTTTCTAGTTTAATAAATGATTGAATCGTCTTCATTGCTTTAACTCCTGCATTGTATGCATGTATTATTGACATATGTGGTTTTTGTTCCCCATTTCAGGTATTCCATAAAACTTACCAACTCATGGAGTCCCAAGATGTGAGCTTTTTACATAATGAAAGAACCCAGCAATTCTGTCTCTTAATGCGATGACACTATTCATAGACTTTAATTTTATTTATAAGCCACTTGCTGCATGACCCTCCGAGTAGACCTGTGGCTTAAAATAAAGAAAATGCAGCAAAAAGAATGCTATAGAAATATTTGGTGGTTTTTTTTTTTTTTTTTTTTTAACATCCACAGTTAAGGTTGGACCAGCTACCTTTGGGGCTGACCCCCTCCATTGCCATAACATCCTGCTGCATTGCCTCTAAGATGTAGGAAGAATTTGGATCCTCACCATTGGAATCTTCCATCAAACATATTCAAACACTATTGGACCAGGATTTGAGTCTCTGCATGACATATACTTGATTAAAAGGTTATTACTAACCTGTTACAAATGAACAGCTCTTTGATTTTAACGGACACCCCAAAAGTCTTCTTGTCTACATAGTAGAAGACGGCAACACCTTCACTGAATGTTTGAATAGAAACTTCTACTAAATTATTAAAATAGACATTTAGTGTTCTCACAGCTTGGATATTTTTCTGAAAAGTATTTGCCAAAACTGAAATCCTTCAGATATTTTCCTTTGTCCCACTAGTTATGATGACTTTCTGTCTGGATCTTACAGGAAAGGATACTTTCTTTTTTCTTCCATCTTTCCTTTTTATATTTTTTACTTTGTCATACCTGCCTATATATTTTATACACTGAGGGTAGCCCATTTATAAATTAAGAGCACATTAAATTCAGAAGGTTCTAACAGGGCTGGTCTTAAGTGAACCACTATGTATATAAATATGTTAGAAAACAGCTGTATACATTTTTGGGCAACGGTTATGCATAATATTTACCAGGAGAATTTTTTTCTTAAAGAGCCAACATTTAAAATTTATGTTTTATGTCAATAAAAGAAAATATACTTTATTGTGACTTCAACTATATTTCTTATCCCTTACATTTTTATTTGTCTTAGCTTAAAAAAAGAAGAAACTGTGGAATACTACAGTAAATATTGTTTTCAAACACAAGCAATAATTCAAATAGTTATTTTTCTTTTGAATTAATTTTAGACATATTTGGGATCCTATTGAGGGGATAAGAGGATGTCAAAAAAAGTTAAATACCTAAGTAGAAAAAAATATAGAAATAAAGCCAATAATCTCTTTCAGTTCAAATGTTAGCAACTGTTAATAAGAAATTGCTTTCTGGGATGACGGAATTATCTCTGCTTAGTATCTTATTGTAACTGAAAAAAGGTTTATCATTACAAATGCCTTCCAATGAAACCAAGAATTTCTCAAAATATTTAATGTCACATAAGAAGTTACCTAATCTAGCTTCTTAATGTCAATTTTTAAAAAATCTTAAAATTACTTAGTTTTGTAGTAAACAGTGAATAAAAGGTTGCCTCCTAATTATTTTTTTCAATTAGTGCTGAATGGGAAAACATTTATATCTTACTATAAAAGGTTCTGTTTTGTTTGGAATTGATGGTAGCTTTATTTACTGTTCTGATTGTGCTGTTTCTAAATTATTGAATCTGCTAGGTTTCATTGATGCAGCCACCACTTAAGTGACATAAATATTATAGAGAGGTACTGTGAAATGATCACTTTGTGGCAGGGGTACTTTTAAACAATGTTTCTACAAAAGTAGGTTGAGTTCATTGTAAATAATTGTGAAAACCACTGTTCAAATAATTTTAAGATTACATTAATTTTTCTATAAATTGTAGATTTATAAATGTTTGAAATTGTACACATTGATATTTAATGACAAATTTACTTAAAATAAATTGACCCCTCATTCTTACTTGCACTTCTCATTTACAGACTAGAACTTAGATGAAAGTTAAATTAAGAAAGATGTTTCAGGAAATGTGAAACTTGGCTGTTAGCACTTGATAGGGCACACTCTGAAGAGTTAACCAACAGCCGAAGAAGTAATTTCTGTAATGATGAACACCTTAATCATTCTGTTAGAACAGACTACACTGTCCCATCTCAGCATTTGCAGAAAATACGTTGGTAAGGTCAGCAGCCATTATCAATAGGGCCTTGCGTGGCTAACCTTGACCACCATTCTTCTCTCAATCTGATAGGCAACACCTCAATCCTTTGTTCTCCAACTAATCAGTAAAATAAGTAATGCATCTCTGCTTCTGTAATGATATCTTAGAATTTTTAGTATGTTTCTTTTGAAATGCCCAAAGCCCAATTCTTTGGGATATCTTTTGGGTATCTGGTATCATGTGGGAGTGAAGAATGAAAGTTTTTGGAGAAACCAACAAATGAAAGCTGTGATAGCACAGAAGCTAACGGCGTTGACAGTGGAGTAGGTAGTATTTACTCTGTAGTGTTTACAACATAGTAGATAGAAGTACAAAATTTTTTTTAACTGTAACTCTTTCATAGCTTGTTTTATCTAGTAATATTTAAATAATGACGTTTCCTTGATCCTTTGCTTTTGCAACCTAACAACTTTAATAATAAGTTCACATAATAAACAATGAGTAGAAAATTGAGTGACTTTGTAAACCAATCTGATTTCTACTTTGTGTGTACTTTATAGGTACATATCTTCATTTTGGCCTTATCATTAAATATACATTGTGCCAAGTATCGTAGACAAAAAAAAACCTCTCACAGGTATTTCCTGAGATTGCCCCGTCATCAAATTTAATGAAAATGACCCATTAAATTAAATTTGAGGACCATAAAGATAAATATTCTGAGAAGGAGAAGTTAGGTTAAAAACAAGTTTCTCAACTAGGCCAATATCTTTAATTGCCAGTTTTCATTCAATTTCAAATAACTAGTTCTACCTGACAGCGTAACAGTTGAGAGGATGACAATATTTTATTTTAAAAAGCAGCTTCAGGCCGCTTTCAATTTTCCTGTCTAGTATTAAGTAGTTTCTTTTATTCCTTATTATTGAACTTGATAATATCTATCTCATAGATTTCTTCTTATTGTATGACTAGTTTACAAGTGGATTTCATAAATATCAAATCATTTAATCACCAAAATATCCATCAAAGAGAAGCTTGTTAAATAAATTCTGGTACAGCCATACAGAGAAAATGTGTAGCTTTAGAAAAGGATGAGGATACTCTCTAGAAAGATATGGTATTCAGGGTAAGTGAAAAAGCAAGGTGCGGAGCAGCATGTAACTGTACTACCCTTCTATTAGAAAGAGAGAGACAGAGAAACTAGAATGTTTGCCTATGCCGGAAGGACAGAAAAGCTGTTAATAGTGCTTATCCACTGGGACAGAAAGGGGTGATAATTAGGCACTTGGGAGAAAGGGGTGGGAAAAAATTTCACTATACATATATGTGTGTGTGTGTGTGTGTGTGTGTATGTATATGTGTGTGTGTGTGGATATATACACATTTTTTTTTTTGAAACGGAGTCCCACTCTTGCCCAGGCTGGAGTGCAGTGGCATGATCTGGGCTCACCATAACCTCCGCCTCCAAGGTTCAAGCAATTCTCCTGCCGCAAGCCTCCCGAGTAGCTGGGACTACAGGTACATGCCACCACGCCCAGCTAATTTTTGTATTTTTGGTAGAGACGGGGGTCTCACCATATTGGCCAGATGGGTCTTGAACTCCTGACCTCGCGATCCACCCCCCTTGGCCTTCCAAAGTGCTGGGATGACAGGCGTGATGCCACTGTGTCCGCCTGTCCACTTTATTTCTTTGATAAAACTGTTTGCTTGGAAATGAGAATGTTACTCCTCTTATAAAAATTGTAAAATGAAAGGTTAGAAAGGAGAAAGTCACCCATAGTCCTAAAATGATCCCTGTGGTTATTTTGATTTTCCCCCAGACTTTAAGGGAATATTTCATAGAACTTGAGCATTCATAAACTATATAAAAATTTCAACATGCAAAATAATCAGGGCTGTCATGTATGTAGACACAGGTAAACTAAAAGTATAGAACAGGCATAGAGATGATGAATACCAAGTTTAGTGGTGATTACCTCTGAAAGAGTTGGATGGGGTCAGGGAAGGGGACTTTGCTGAAACCTGGAAAGTTGTGTTTGTAAAAAAAATTAAGAGTTAAAACAAATATAGCAATACCTTAAGATTTGGCACTGCTTAGTGGTGGGTACACATGTCTTTATTATATCCTCTACATTTCTGTATGCTCCATATATTTCATAATAAAAAGATAAAGTGTGTTTCTCCTGATTGTGTGGATCTAAATCCATCACTTACTGTCTGTCTATCAGTGTAGTTTTGTTAGTACTGACAGCCTTCCCAATTAGAAGGGTTGAAATTTTATTGATCTTATCTTTTGGCAGAATTATTTCAAGCACCTCCTATGAAGCATCAATATACAGAAGAAATAATGTGTACTAGAAATTACATCCTGGCTGGGTGCGGTGGCTCACGCCTGTAATCCCAGCACTTTGGGAGGCTAAGGTGGGCGGATCAGTTGAGATCAGGTGTTTGAAACCAGCCTGGCCAACATGGTGAAACCCATCTCTAATAAAAATACAAGAATTAGCTGGGTGTGGTGGCACACACCTGTAATCCTAGCTACTTGGGAGGCTGAGGCAGAAGAATCGCTTGAACCTGGTAGGTGGAGGCTGCAGTGAGCCAAGATGGCGCCACTGCACTCCAGCCTAGATGACAGGGCAAGACTCCATCTCTAACAACAACAACAAAACACACAAACAAAAAAAAGAAATTACATCCTTACTTAGCCATTCACTTGTTATGAACAGAATTTAGAAGACTCAAAAAAGAAATGCCCATTTGTTTTCTATATAGTACCTTCCATGAATTTTAGTAGATAACTGCATGGCTGTAAGACCATCATATTTGTAATTACGTGTTAAGGCTAGAAAGTTTCTAGACAGAAAAGTCTTGACTCTACATTTAAGTTTAGTGTCCAAGGGAAAATAATTGTTATCATCATATTAGATTTTAAGTTATGTACGAGACCTGTTTTATTGTATTCCGTGTTCTAATTCATTACAGTCCAAAGAAAGCACTAAATAATAAAATGGAATGACATTTGTTTCCTTTCGAATATGTGTTTAAAAGACCACAAAAACGTGGTTAAAACAAAACGGTAGGGTGATCATGGAAGTGATTAAAACCTGCTATTGAAGGGAAAACTTGACTCTAAAATAGAACAATTCTCTAATTTCACCTATGCTGGGTTTCTCCCCAATTATGGTTTGATATTTTAATTCTCCTTGCCCACTCAGGGAGACGTTACTGGTAGTTAGTTGCATTGTATAATCGATTTTAAAGGAAGAGACATAACTAATGACTAAAACTAAGTTATTAGGATTCTTCCATGGCTTTTCAATGTTATCTATGTCTCCATCCCACAGGTTCAGTTAATTCTCTAATTCTATATGTTAAATAAATGTGTATCCTGCAAGGATATACACTCACCCCCAACACAGACACACACACACACACACACACACACACACACACACACACAGAGTACTTTTTTTTTTTTTTTCTTTTGAGACGGAGTCTCGTTCTATCGCCCAGGCTGGAGTGCAGTGTTGCGATCTCAGCTCACTGCACTCCACCTCCCGGGTTCACACGATTCTCCTGTCTCAGCCTCCGGAGTAGCTGGGACTGCAGGCACATGCCGCCATGCCTGGTATTTTTGTATTTTTAGTACAGACACGGTTTCACTATGTTGGCCAGGCTTGTCTCGAACTCCTGACCTCGTGATCCGTCCGCCTCAGCCTCCCAAAGTGCTGGGATTACAGGTGTGAGCTACTGCGCCCAGCCAGAGTACATATTTTTGTTCAGGATAATCAGAAATGAGTATAAGAGAGATTCTTAATGTTTTATATTAAGCAGGTTCATTTAGAATAAACAAAACCAGAGCTATTATCTTCTATGGATTAAGACTGGAATAATAAAAAATATTGGAAGGAGATTTTTTTTGTCAGGTCTCCCATGTATACAGGTGTTCATCAGAGACACCATGTTCCCCTTGTCTCCCTCTCAGAGAGAGACACCCATAGATGGCAGGCGTGGGCAGGGCCATGCCTGTCATACACAGGGCTTCGTATATGCTGAAGCCTGCAGCTGGTTATTACTGTCTCCTAGTTAGCTCCAATAACTGTGTTTGGCTAATTGCATTGCACTCCCTGCTAGCCACCTGAGTCTCCCCAAAAGAAGACTGCCCTTCAAAACTAAGGAAAGAAAATCTTCACACCATTATCCAGCCCCAGATTCTTGGCTTGAGCCAAGTACCTATGTAGCTCAAGCCAAGGATTTTTGTGCCCAACTCGAAGAAGTGGTGAAGCTACAAGTGTTAACATAGATTTCTTACATTTAAATCATAGTGGACAGGACTTCAATGGTTGTGGTTTTATTATTAAGTTGTATTTTAGACACCATAATGCCAATATTAAGTGATTTTAATGTGAACAGATGCTGAACCATTTCTACTGAAATGTCTCAGATATCCAATCAAAATTTATTAAGGAATTGTACCATACAAGATTCCCCTGTTTTTCAACCAGAGAATCAGAAGCTTAGGGGAAAAAAAATTCCCTTATTTTCCAAATCCATCACTTGTAGTCTAAACTATTTTAAGTTTTATTTATTTTCTTGAGATGGGGTGTTGCTCTATTGCCCAGGCTAGAGTGTAGTGGCACAATCACGGTTCACTGCAGCCTCGACCTCCCAGACTCAAGCCATCCTCCAGGATTAGCCTCCTGAGTAGCTGGGACCACAGGCACGCACCACCACACCCAGCTAATTTTTAAAAAAAAATTTGGGGAGATGTGGGCTCACTATATTGCCAAGGCTGGCCTTG